ATACCCATTATGATACCTATATTTGATGGGTAAATCGAATGAACTTCGACCTGGAACTGCTTGACCAACATCATAGCCCAGGCAGTAAGCATGATTCGGGAAGTGAAGAAACGACAAGAGAAGTTGGAGAACGCTGCTTGATGCGAGAAAATCAGAGCTGGCATCTTGATATGAATCGAGTGATGATTTTTTTTGGACACATTGGAGGAAACTATGGTAACTTTGCCTTGAATCCTTGAGGGGGCAAGACCCGGACTTCCCTTCCGGGCAGATTTGGTGGACATGGATCTTTTTTTTCACTTTTTTCACATCCATGAGATGACAATGGAGTGTTTGTGGACAAACAGATACATATGACTCATATGACTGCCAAACATTACCGATGTGAAAACATGCTTGGGTACATCCCCATTTGTTGTTTGGAATGTGCTCAGGATTCTTGTTTCAGGCTTTCAATTATATCACTTTTTGCTTCCCCTGGGGGATGGGTTGAATCCATCAAATCCGACTGTGTTGAAACCGCACATGGGTCAAAGTTTACTTCCCAGCTGGGTAGATTTTCTATCCCACTGGGGTCAAGTGACCAAGTTGTTTGAGCCCCAAAGCTTGACCCAGTGCGACATGATGACAGATGTGTCATATGTGTGGCTCAAGCAGCTGTTGTTGCGAAGCCGGCACGAAGCGGTGTTTCAAGCGAAACCGGTCTCAAAGGACCAGATTCACACCATTATGAACCAACCTAGATTGTAGATAGCACAAACTTCACGACCTGTTTGGACTTTGCACATTTTATACATGTTCCATCTTTCGCATTGGTTTTGGACGATACGATATATACTAATATGGAATTTGACATTTTTTTTCCACATCCAAGATTGTCGGCCTAAGTGATCCAAAAAGTCGTCCTAAGTGAACCTTGGACCCCTTGGCTTCGATGCTCCTTAATGATTCTAGGCGATTATTGATTGACCGGTTTGACATGTTTTGCCTGAAAAATGATGAAGATTGGCCGGCCCCAGCTGGAATTTTGTCGGGTCCAACAAATCCCAACTGATGTATATCAACATAAAAAGGGGCCCCGAGAAGATAGAAAACGCAACCCCTATTATTTTGTTGGTGATTTATTACTTATTTGGGCACCCCATAAACCAAAAATCAAAATAGATCAGAAAACTCTAATGACTCTAGTAAGTACAATGCCCTGCTTTTGTGAGATGAATATGATTTTACCAGCTATTTTGATGCTCAAATACCAGGACTTTGACCTGTGCCGCCATCTGACAGGAAGCTCCCTGCGGCGCCGCAACAGCTCTGCAACTTGACGAGCCAAGGTCCATGGCCCTGCATGCTGTTTTTTTCTGAACATGGTCGTGGAATTTGAATTCGGTGAGTGACGCTAATCCAACAGTGGAAAGTGTATCTCAGTCAGAAAGTCATTAGAAAGTTGGTAAAATGGCATGATGTTTGATCCAGGTCGTAGAGTATCATAACCCCCACGAAAACCTCTCAACAAACAGCCACTGAACAATAGAGAGATGCATCAATGCGCCACTTCCGAGGCAATCTGATTTGTGCCTTTGCCACCATATCTTCCATTTATCGATGGCAAGGTTTTTCAACAGCATATCGACTTCGACCGAGAGTTGTTTTTTAATCCATGTTGACGAAAGGTTCGGAAAGGCCCTAATGCCGGTTTGTGCTTGGCATAATCTCGCGCGTTCCACGGGAGCTCACCGAGACCGCTGTCGGGATGCCTAAGATGGGAGTGCAATTTGCTGTTCCTTTTCAATGCGTGGGATATCGTTCATGTTCGTTGATTCGTTAATGCGATCTTACTTCGTTAATGCGATCTTACTTGGCATTAAAACACCTTAGAAGATGTGACTTTGGAGCTGTGCCGCTCCGTTATGACATGGCCACCCGGAAGCCATTATTATTATCATTTCCTCTTCACGGCAATCGCTCTTTCGATATCTCCCCTTGACTGGTCGCGTTTCATGGCGGCCTTTGCGATTTTGTGGTCGCTCATGGTGTCCCAGGACCTTGATGATCCAAAAAAAACGCTGGGCGTGGATAAAGTGGGTACTGAGGAATATGAATGTTTGATAATGTTTGACTCTCGTAGAATTGCTAGGTCCATGGCTGAAAAATGGTTGATGAAGTTGATGAATGTTTTTGCATAGGCGGCCACAATGGAACCCCCAGCATTGACAATGCAAATTCGAGTCCTGAAAACACCAAGCGCTTCTTTTTGTGTTTTGAGGATTCAAAAGACACAACACCAATCTTTTGTCTTTTTCTTTCATAGGTTTGGGTTTTGCCATGTCATGGGCCCTTGTGATTTCTTGTCTCCATGTCATTACAAGGAGGCCTGCGCGGCAGAGCAGTGTGGTTTCAAGGGTGGGTCCAACACCGTGTCTAAAGATGTGGCCTCCATGGTCCAACTCAATGTTGGCCAGTCCTCCAGCATTAACACGATGGCCCAACTAAAGAATGGCGGCTTTTCCCTGGCAGCAGCAGGTCGCTCGATGGACCAATGGAAGTGAAGCCGGTCGAATCATCGCATGTTTGGACAGAGAACTGCAATCAACAATTCGACGATACGCATCATTTCAAGAAACACCCTGGTTGCATGCCAAAGGTAGCCTAGGCTACCTGAATTCCATGTATATTATATAAAATGCATATGGGTCGGAATCAAATTCTTCGCGGCTTTTCAGTCTTCTCACGCCCAATTTTCTTGATCTGTGTCCTTTTGTGTGATTTGTTGGGCTTGTTGTGTGATTGGCTGCGGCGAAGAGTTGGTTTGGATCGTGTATGTTGAAGTCCGGGGGGCGGTTTGTTGGTGAGATGGGCTTGTATCCAGTGAAACTTGCAAGTTTGCCTTTTCTTTTTTTGTACAACATTGGTTTCTCATGCTGCATGTCGAGTCGGATGGACAGATCGTTGAATGTGTTCTTTGTTTGTTCTTTGTTTGTTCTCTGTTTTAGATGGAGTCTCTCAGTCTCTTGAGATCGGCTCAGATCAGTTTAGGTTCTCTTGAACTTCAAGACGTTTGTGTCGTGTGTGAGGGATTCCCGACCGAGGCATAAGCTGCGATCAGCACTGCAATGACAACAGCCTGGGCTGTAATGCGGCAATGACCAACAGTGCCACTGCAGCCAACCTGCAAGACCTGTCTCCTGGGTGCAGCGAGGCCCAGGGAACGGCACTTTTTGATCCTTCCGTCCTCAATTTTCCGGGGCGCGTCCCCCGACTCGTCGCGTGCGTCACAAACAGCGCAACATCAACTACGTGCGATGCAGAACCCCCCCAGAACTCAGCCGCTTTGACTACCCAACGAGTCTGCTACTGCGAGGCTGGTGGTGTTGATGGTGATCCCCATATCCACAGTTTGCGGGGAGCCCATTACACCTTGCTGCAGCAAGGCTTTTTCGTCGCCTGGAACTTCTCCAAGGCTGTGCCAGCATCAACTGTGCCAAGTGCAGCTCCACCTCGTGGGTGGCAGCTCCTGGCTGCCTATGCAGGCCATCGCTTCACTACGCAAGGCCTGCTGCTTTTGGATCCCCACTCCGGGCAGTCCATGGAAATCACAGCAGAAGACTGCTCTTGGCGCGTCAAGGAGAAGCAAACCCCATGGCGCAAGGCGCAGGTGGAGTTGCTATCGGCAGAAGACGGGACGACCAGCCTCCAAGTGAAGAAGCTACACGAGAAACTGGGTGAAACCAAGATCTTGAGGTCTGCAATCCTGTTGCAGATGGGGTCAGGGTCCGACATGAAGAACATCTCAACCCTTGTGGTCCATTGCAGGCCAAAGCATCACCTCGACTTCAAGGTAAGCATGTTCCAGAAGAGCGACATCGACCATGTGGGTGGTGAACTTGGAGTGGCTCCAGACGTAGACCACAACTACCACTTCTTGTTCAGCAAACAGGGCATGATGCGAATGAGAGCAGACCAAGAGTTTCAGGCTGGGATGACTCAGAGACATTTTGGAAACGACGGAGACACATGTCCAGACTATCGATTCCCAAAGAGACTAGTGACTACTACCATTGTTTGGCTGACAGCAGTTGTGGAAGGTACTATACTTTGAATGCATCAATACCACTGTCTTCAGCGCTACTAAGGGGCTTTTGGTACATGGGATACTCTAACAGGATTCCTGACACTTGAAGTATAGTATCCAAGATTTTCCCGAACACTTTTCCCTTCTCAGCTGTTCGTCAGAGCAGTCAAATCTATAGATATGTATAGTATCATGTATACATATGATTACATATGTATATATGTAAGAAGTGATGCTGGGTGTACTTGAACCCAGTTTCCATACCATTCCATACCATTCCATACCATTCCATACCATTCCATACCATTCCATACCATTCCATACCATGCCATGAATTTTCAGAAGCCTTGTTTTGAGGCACCTGGATCGTGGGTGACCTTGGGTGGCAGCCCAGCTGGGGCCGCATACTTGGAGAAGAAACACCAAACAGGGACACGTATGGTGCAGTCGCAGGGTTGCAGTGATGCTCAGGAGGACGATGCCAGAGCCATTTGTTCGAAGCACCTCCAGCAAACGACTCACCCGGAGACGTTTGCTGATTGTGTGTACGACTTATGCCATGGAGGTGATGAATCTTTCGCCCAAAGTGCGGCAGCATTCCTTTCGGAATCCAGCGCCTGATAAACTTTAGGCACGAAAGCAAGCCGCCGCAAATGGCTGGAGTGCTGGGATGCTTACACGCAAACGCGTGTACGTCCCAAAGAAGAAGTGAAAAAGACTACATTTGCCTGGCCGCATACTAAACGGGATGTTTTTGAATTAAACACAAAGATTTTTTGAAACGATGAACATCAGTAAACGCATTGTAAACAGGGGGTTGATGTGACCCTGATGTGACCCGGTCGCATCGGCTCGTGCCTTGCGGGAATACATGTTTCCAGTCACCTGATGTGACTAAAGTTGATGAGAGTAGGAATGGACAGAGTGTGGAATGAGTCTCAGAAATCAGACTGTGACAAAAGTCAATTTGGCTCAAGTCTTGGCACAAGAGCACAGCTGGTTGAAAGTGCACCGTTCCAGAAGCCCCAATTCTAGGCATCGTGTGATGATGATGCTTGTGGCACTGCTTTTTGCAGTCACTGCACAGACATTTGCCGTGGACACCAACATGAATGTGACCGGAAAACAGACGGTGCAGGAATTGATGCAGGGCAACATGGGCATTGGGAGGAACTACTCAGTGACATCCAATACCTCGCTACGTGGCACGGAGAAATCAGCAGTTGGTGGGAATGTGCCTGTGGTCGGGAGGGTGGCAACGATACTTTGGAATGATTATTCCATTACCACGATCAAAGGCTGGGCGCAATGTATCGGTGCGGTCAAGGGCTACTTGAACTACTACGAACATTGCATGCCAACATGTGCCAAAGTTGTAGCACGCAAAATTGCTAAGTTTGCCTGCAAAAGCTATTGCAGTTGCACATAGTCGTCACATAGTGATCATAGTGACACCAAGAGAAAGCCATAGAAAGCCATCCGCTGTGGCTCAAAAGCCATTCCAAGCATCCATAGCATCTCCATGACACTTCGGTCATGTCTTTGTGTGCTGTGAATCTGTACAGAATTTGGATATAAATTTGATAAAGGCACCTTGTACATCCCTTGTACAAAATTTTTGTACCTTTTGATTTGAGGGGAGGCAAGCCGACCTCACATTTGATCAGGCCACTTTATCAGGGACGGAGTATAGTCAGTTTAGTAGTCAATTCGCCCCTGACCAAGGTAGCTCTCATGTCCAGCTTGGATTGGCAGCATGCAGGTTGCAAACCCAATTTTGAGCTACAGACGTTGCCAGGAGTGCTTGACTTCGGATGAGGAAAAAAAACAGTAACCTGCAGGTCCACTGCATCGTCATCTCATGTTCATCAGAACATACTGTATAATACCGTACTGTATATATATATATCTGTACATGTTTTCCCCTTGCATTGCAACTTGAGGCCCTTCAGCCACAGCAAACTTATACGGATGGCTATGGGATATGGGATGTTGGGTGTGTTGCCAGGGTGCCTATCACCTCGCACCTGGGCAATTTCTCGTTTGCGGCTCAGACGCAGCTTGCAGTTCGTCCAAGCCATCCAAGCGAATGAAATGATCACATGGCCTTGGCATTTCCATGCATTTTGCAGCATTTTGCTGCATTTCGGCAAGGGAGGATTGCTCCATCGTAAAAATTGGATTTCTGACACGCTGCAATTGCAGTCTCAGCCTGGGAAGTGCTTCCCGTTGAGCGACATTACAGATAATACAACAGAAATCCCGGCGTGTGTCTTCTTTCAGTCTCCCTTATCAATCCTTATAATATCAACAACGCAAGCAAGAAACCCTTACAACATATTTGAATTATTCAAAACTAAAACTACTCAAACATGTTTACATTTTCTGACTCTGGGGCATCTCTGTACAAGTTTCTATGCGCTGCCTCGCATGATTTATGGTTGTGTGTAGCGCGCCTCAGTGGTCAGTCCAGTTATCCAGTCATGGAGGACTTGGGAAGCGCAGACTTCGGATGACTTGAGCGGTTCCCAAGCGATGCCATGGCGGTTTTTGCCGCTGGGATTTCTGCCCACCATCAAGGCTGGTGCGTGGCAAGATGCCATGAGAACCACCGAAGACTTCGAGGTTGGGATGCATGCGCCATTTTTTCTCAGTTTCCCAGAATTGATCATATTGATCTCAGGAAAATTCACAGGAAACCATATAGAGACTCTATATGTCACTATACGTCACTATATGATACTATATGTCACTATGTTCAACAGGGAACAAGCCTGATTTCAGCATATTTCAACTGACTTTTTCCCATGACAGGCCACTTCCGACAGGCCATGACAGGCTCATCAAATGCGCAGGTCATCAGCTTCGTCACCGCCATTGATCCCTTTGCGCTGACTCGCACCAATCTCCTGGAGAAGTTTCCCCTGAAGGCGGCCATGGCGCCGAAAGATACCTGGAATGTCCTGGAAAATGGAAAATGGATGTTCATCTTGTTTCATCCCAATATTATCATATATTATCATATAATATATATATATGATCTATTTATATTGGGCCAAAAAGATCCAAAAAGGGTTTTAGCATGTTTTAGCCCAAAGCCATTTGATCCATATGTCACTAGTTAATACTAGTTGTGTTGTCATTGTTGGCTTGCAGTGGCTTGTTTCAAGCGAAATCCTTCAAGATCAGAGCTACAGGTGACTCTGCTGGGGCTGGAAGCGCAAACGAAAGCCTGGAGCAATCTCCGGAAGGTGGAGCTTCTTCATCAGCTTCTCGGTTGATGCGGAACGGAGATGGTTGGTGATACACTGCTAGATCAATCAAGCAAGCTAGATAAGCTACTGTAGCATCTAGCATAGTTAGGGCCCTCGCAGTCCTGAAAAATGGCACATCCTTGTTTTGGCGAAGAGGGTTCAACTTCTTAGCACTTTCTCACAAGGTCGACATGTTGTTTTGCATTCTGAATGCTTGGTCGTTCGTGGTAGGAACCATGGAGGACCAGTAAATAGGATACAATGGGATGAGCTGTAAACACTCGATACCTGGGAAACTCGTCAGTTGTCTCTGTTTTTGCCGCCGGGGAATAGCTTCTTTAGGACATTGATGTGAAATGATGTGAATGGATTCGGGGAATTAGCCAACCACTTTCATGCTTTTTACTTGCATTTTATAGCAAACATCATCAAACATGTGTCGGATGTGTCAATTCACAGTCGCGAATCCCATGACAGGCCAAACTCCACGTCCGAGGCATGTTGCGCTGTTGCCCCCCCAGAAGGCGAGAACTTGGAGCCGCCTCGCGGTTTTCTTTTGGCAATCGGGGCTTTGTAGACGTTGGATATATTTGAGTCGCTCGACCAGTACCGCCCGCACCCCTGAAATTGGAAAGGCAAGAAAGAAGAAGCGGGCTCGTGGAGCCGCAGAAAGTGAATTCCAAATTGAAGATGTTGAAGCCATTTCAGGTCTATGAGTCTATGAGTCTAGGTTTTTGTGTGGTATCGAAATGCTGAGATTCTGTTTGATTGTGCTTTTCAGACAGCCAAATCATCACAGGATGAAATGGCAATCCATCATTCAGATGATTTGTGCCCAGTTTGAACCTCCATGGCTGTGTTTGCGTCACAGGTGGTTTTCGCCATCGACTTCTTTGATGTGATGTGGTTTGGTTGCAAAACCGACCTGGTGGAGATCCTTGGCAAAAAGCACGTTTTGCACATGCTGGGACAACTTGGACACCCACGAGCAAGCGGCATGCGGCATGTGGCATGTCCAGGTTTTTTCATGGTAAATTGCAGCTCTTTGGACCGGCATGGGCCAACTAAGGACGTTCAAAAGTTTCAACCGCTCCATGGTTTTCAGTGCCGAGCTGTTTCCTTATCCCATGACGGAGGCTGCTTTGGACCGCTTGGAGAGGTGGGAGTCGTGAGCCTCAGCTGATCCATTCACAGATTTCACAGACCCTTCCGGCTTCGGATCCCTGGAGGTCGGATGGTTATCCTGTGTTGGGAAAGAGGACTGAGCCATTGCGTGCCTCAGCGAAGTGGCTCCGGCTAGTAGGTGGCTGTTTCTTTTCCAGTGGCTAGCAGCCTTAGCATTCCCGTATCGTTGAGTAATGTTGAGTATCTTGTGTCCCTTCGGAAAAATCATGAACAGGATGTTTGAAGGAACAGAAGTGGTTGCAAAGCTCTACCAATGTCCACTGGAGAGCTGTGTCATGATATACATGTTTCTTGCATTTTTCGACTGATCGCACCCAATTCTTCTATTCTTTAGAAAGACAATCTAAATACGGACATACACCCTGCCCAGCACTCAGGCACCCTGAGAGAGAAGACCTACAAGCACCTTGTTCCTTGAAATAAAACGATGAGACATGATGAGTAAGGATTCCAAGGATTCCAGAGATGAATGTGATGCGATGAAACTCAATGAATTCAATGACTCCATTTAAATTTTCATTGCATTGGTCGAGAGTCAAGACGTCGAATGGCTCAACTGGCATGCATCTCAAAAGTTCAAGAAATGACAATGGAAAGAATTTAATTGCTGTGTTCAAAAAGAGGCACGTGGCTTCGGAAGTGTCTTCGGTTTTGAGGTACCTGAACTCTGGCTGCGTTGCGGGCTATGCGTCTGCGCTGAAATTGGCAACTGGTCGCATACTGCAGCACGATGGGCTGAATCAATATGTCACCTACAGCAGGCCGGACAGTGACCCAGGACATCTCAGGACTTGAAGATGGAATAACATCACGAAACGGTTCATGAAACCATACTGAAGCCCATAGAAAACTATATTAATCTTTTTCAGCCCAGCTCCAAGGCAAGGGAGGGTCCCATGTCCATGCTTGGGAATGAAATGCATTGCACTGACTCGAACCTGATGCGACACTCTCGCTTTGCGAGCTTGCAGAACAACCCCAATGGGGCATCCACACTCAGAAAGCCGATCACCTGTGCACCATGGTGATATTTTCTACTGCAGGTTGGCAGCGAATGACGACGAGCGGAAGCAAATGCAGATGGGTAGTGATGACCAGATTGCATGGCATACCTATGCCTGTCCCCCAGTCGAACCATGTCAAGCCCATCGAGTGGTTGCCTTCAGCCAGCATGCCAAACGATTTGCTTCTTGTGAAATTCAGCGCTAAAACATGATAAAATCATATAACCGTCGTTTGTACTATGGAAAGCTGATGGTGGGTGGAAGATCTTAGGCTCTTCATCACCCAGATGAGATCGCATTGGATTATGACGCGGATCTATTTTTGAGTGCATTCGGTTGTTCGGCGGCACTCAGATCTGTATTGCAGTGATCACGCCGCCATGACCGTGAAAGACAATACGAAGCCTCCAAATCATGCCCTTTTGTGTGGCTGTTCATCCTGGAACTCTGAGGTACTGAGCTGCCGGATTACAGTTTCCGGGCTGGGCAAGTATGGTTAAAGCCTTTCAGCAGCTGGGCAAGGAAGACCAGGGCATTCTTTCTTCATTGACACCCAAACATGGCACGCAATTGGCGATGACTGAAACACGAACACACAATTTGAACGGAAAGTTGGCGCATGATTGATGGGTGATTTTGCCACGATTTTGCCTTGCCACTTGATGCATAGCTATCAAATAACACAGTAAGATCATATAATATAACATATATAACATCATACAACTAGTAAGATCATGTAAGATCATATATTGATCAATTTACATCATATACAGCTGGTAGATTCATCGCTGGATCAGCAGCTGAGATCGCTATCTGTGCTTCGCTCATGGCAACGGCGCCAGCAACTTGGCGGTCCATGTGGCGGAGCTCCAGCAACCCAGCCGCATGTTGGTGATTGGCTAACCATCCCAAATGGTAGGTTCATGGCATTGGCTTTCCCATGATAAATATATTATGAATAAATATGTGAATGACTATATATGAATGACTATATATGAATACATTACATACTCGTATAATATCATATAATACTTGTACATCTCCATGCATTGGAAAACTATGGCTCTTTACATGTGTGCGTGTTTACATCTTTCTTGTCCATGTTAGAACCTTTTTTTGCCATTTTTGTCAATTTGTTTCTGCTTGATCTTGAACCGGACACACTTCTGGTCCTGCGACCTGAGGCAGATGGCTGAATCTTTCCCAAGACTTCAGCCGGACAATTGCTCACTAATGCGTCAAAGGCACAAGGAGATAGGGGAAAATGGGAAGATGGATGTGGGTGGATGTGGGAGTTCTGCTCTGCTGGTAGCACAGCAAGACTGTGCAAGACTTCTATCCAATTTCAAGGTTCCAGCACAACAATCAATGCTTAATAGATCTTAATAGCATGCTCTTTCCTTGCTTTCAAGCATCTTCAATTTCACCATACTGTGATGTGACATGTGAAGAATGTGACCAACGTGTGGCGAGACATGCCCAGGAGGTTCGAGGAATGCAGGTGTGGGAGCATCTTGGCTTCACGTGCTGTCTCTTTTTGCTGCTGTGGGGGGAAGAATAGCAGAACAGAGGGAGTCATTTCACAAAAATCGTCTCCGATATCCTCCGTCAGAAATGATGGCTCATGGATTGACGAACCATGACGAAGGATGACGCATGATGATGAATGATGGTTAATGATGATGAACGATGATGAACTTCTTCTTACTTTTCTTAGGGAAATGTCGACGCCTGTGTCAATGCATCACATCCATTTCAGGTTGTTCTGTGACTGGCATATGCTGCGTGCTCTTGCCATGAAGCCGTTCCCGCCGTTCCCGCGGCGCTGGAGAAATCTGGAGAAAAAGTCCTGGACGAGGGAAAGGATGGGAAAGGGGATTCGAAGTGGTTGCAAAGCAAGGAGAATCCTAGGAGTGTCACTGAAAGCAACCAGTCAATACCAGTCTGCCCCGAAACAGCATACTGCATACTCTTCTTTTCAACAGTTTTTTGTTTGCAGTTTCCAAGTTCAAGTGCTGAGGTTTCTCAGCTATTTGGCTGTCGCCTCAGAGATGATCCAAAGACCTGTGGTATGTGTCGCTGCTTTTCATATCTTTTCATCAAGTCAGTTCAAACGGTTCCTTCCTCTGACACGCAAGTGCACAGCGGTGAAGATGATGGTGTTCAACATTGTTCAACAAAACATGTGCCACCTCCCTGGTCTCCTTGTTTTGACCCGCAGTAAGGTAGGTCAAAGGATGTTAAAGGTATAAAGGTAATTAACCCGACTAAAGGACTCTGCACGGAAACCAGCGCATAAAGCATTGCCTCCCTTGCCCTTGTGAAGCAGCACAGGTCGGACCGTTGGAAGCTCCGATAGCTGTGCTCTTGGGCTCAGGCTCGCTTCGTAATGCCGTGGGAACGTGGGGCCACTGAAGAATGACAAAGAAACAATTAGAAACGGCATGAACTGACTCGAGAGAATCGAGTGGTTCTTGATGATCCTTGCAACGAAAGGGACTTGAACCATTGCGTGCTCTCGTCTTTACCACATCAGGTGAATCAGGAGCCATGGGATTAAGCCTTATGCCTTACTAATTTTGGAATATTTGGGATGGTTTTTATATGTTTTTATTACGAGTTTTGACTCGCGACTTGACTTGTTGCAGAAATCGCACTGCAGCCTGCATTGCGAAGGATGCGAAGGTGATGAGCATCACTCTGAGATTGTCCGGCACCTCAGGGGTGAAGACCAATGGCCGCGGCCCGATGTGCAAAACACTGAGGTCTACCCGGATGAGGACCGACGGATTGTCAAAAAATGTTTGTTCCAAGTCGCTTCAAGAAGTTGATGGCTGATAGGCACATTTGATCAGGTTTATGATATTAATAATGGTTGATACATGTTTGTATCATGGTTGGTCTTGTTGGTTAGGCATGGGCAATGGTGGGGGGTGCACAATACTGCCATGAGAAGCTGGAGCGGTGAGCTGCCAGGATATGCATCGGATTTGCCAGAACTTTGCCGTGCACTTTGGGCACGAGCTAGAAGCTGAGGTGACACAGAAAAAGCGCAGACAAGTGCTGTTTGGACAAGGGTGGGGGGAGCAGAAAGATGCAGAAAAAGCCTGAGGATTGCAGATGTCCTTGCTAAAATGACAGCCTGCTCAGATAATGTGAAGAGAAAAGATGAGAAAAGGGCAGCAGAAGATATTATATGCAATTCAGACACACATGTCCAGTAGATTCGAGTACTCTAGCGCACATGTGATGTCAGCCGTGGACATGTTAGATGCTATGGCAGGCCGGCATAGCTTTTTGATCGTTCCTGCATCAAGTTTTTATGAGGTGTTGGACATCCTACGTCAACAAATGAAACCGCGGCAGTGCACCAGCTGCAAAAATGAACCAGCAGTTGGTGCAGAGGGAGGTCTGAGGTAAAGTCGGGTTATTTCTCATTACATTCTAATAATATATCTGAGGGCAACTGAAAACCGGTGCAAAAAAGGGTAAGTGATGAAATCCAGTTCAAGGGGTTTTCTATAGTGCTGCCATACAAAATGGCGCGCGTCTGTTTATTATTCAAGGCATCTCAAGGCATCTCATGATGGAATCATCGTTAGTTATACGTATACAAAAAAATCATCATATTAACTAATCAGCTGGTTATGATAATGAATCATCATGAAGGTTAGCAATTATTATTATATATAGTCTATATTGACATTAATAATACCCTGATTGAATAATATAAGTTACCAGCTGAAGCATCAAAACACCAATGCCAACGGGTCAGCATGTCCTCCACTTCTGAGGATCCTGGTGTTCTGCGCATGTGGATGATCTGTGGATGCGTGTCAAAAGCCAAGAGTCCCATTGTAGGCCACGAAACATCATCGACAATCCAATCAAGTTATACTAAACCAGATATATGAGCTGATCTGATCTGATCTGATATGAGATAATATTATGAGGACATGTTTTGATCAACTGCGTCCCTCTCATTCTTGTTCGATTCATTTTTCTGCGAAGAATCAGATTCTTGCCTTGTTGGAGTTGGATCTGAGGGGCCTGGAGGAGATGACAGCAACTGAGACAAGGCCACACTTCGTCAGCGGGAGCACCGTCCCATATTGTCTTGGCAAGATGATTTTCCTATTCGACACTTGTCCGACACTTCCCCAGAAAGGTGTTCTTAAGGACGGCGCAGCGCCAGGTTGTTTGCTTCCCTCCATGTACATAGCTCCGGCCGTGTCCAATGTGCTGAATTTGTCCTGCCCAAAGATCAGGCAGAAAGATGTAGAAATCTAGCCAAATGCATGGCAGGTGGTGAAACTGCCACAAGCCTTGCAGGCAAACATGGCTGCTTGGTGGTTTTCAGCGATGATCATCCGAATTGATTTATCATTTATCATTCTATTTTTAGGGTGGGTGGCTCAACCACCAACCAGATTCACCAGATGGGCAAACATTCCCGGCCTAATCAGCTTGCTGGTGACCCTGTGGAAGAAAAAGATCAGCCTGCCCCAGTGAAATTGCGAATCGCGGCCGTTCCACATGTCTCAGCCTTTCGTTTGCTGGGCAGATGGGCTCAATTTGTGGATGGTGGGAAGGTCTGCTCATGACAAACACTACCACCAGGCGGACATTCTTTTTGCTTTATTGCTTGGCTCAGTTTGATCATGTGATGAGGCACACCTGCCCAAAACTTGGAGGTAGCCGTGGATGTCCGTTTGTTTGTGCATGGAACGCCAAGCTTTGCCGCTGCTTGGCTCAATGGACGCTCCAGTGGCCAGTGGCCAACCACAGACCGACCGGCGAGCTGTGCAAAGGCCCCGACATTTGAACATTTGGATTTTCTGATTGGAATCGCATCAAAAGGCCTGTGCTCCCTCCATAGCCATTTATTTTTGGTGAGTGGGATGTTTGTGGCACCTGAGTATATGGGGATGATTACATAGGGCAAGTGTTTGAACGTTCCCCACACTCTTTGTGTCATGTGGAGCGCGCCAAACGCCAGGGCCAGCACGTCATGGCGGCTGCGTGGTCGCGATATGGCCTTGCAGCCTGCTGTGCTTTGCTCCTGTCGGTGGCCCTACTGTGGCGGTGAAGCTTTGTCTATCCTTATTCAGAGATATTCAGAGGGGACAGCATTGTTTATCATTTTTCACATGTTTTTCAAGGGTTTCTCAGAGAGTTTCTCCCATGGTCTGGCAGCAGTTGCAGGCATGTGAGACGTTCGACTAGTTGTTTGGGGTTGTGATATAAAGTGAGTCAAATCGATTGTGCTTTGCAAAAGTCATACGCACAACACGGAAGGGAACAAGGATGTGCAATACTAAACTATACTCCCATTTCCTACTCGTTGTTTCCCAAATATCCGGCTTATGCTGATCATTTCCGGCAAAGCCGGCACTTTCCAAAAAGACGCCTGACAACACACCCATCACACCTGAGACAAGATCAGAGGGATAATCGCAGGGATAAACAGACTGCGTTGCCATGTCTACGTCGCAAAGTTAAAGAAACAACACCTCCGATCCATGTCTTATTGGCTACAAAAGCCCAGGCACGAGCTCGCCCGTCAGGCAGAGCAGCAGACGTGACCAGAAGTTTATTGAGAATGAATATAGATATCAATGTATATATATATTTATAGTCATATACAATATTATAATATGTAATTATAAATACATATATGTATATTAGTTGTTTCATACTTCGAAACCTGGCCAAAACGTAGGTATTCGGTCTAAAGTTTCCAGGTTGTCACACCAATGGTGAGCATTTATCTGCTCCGGTCAGAGATGGTGGAAGATGTCGCGACGTTCTTCAGGCGTCCCCCGCCTTTGTGCAGACTGCCCCTGGAGTGAGTACCAGGCCTGGGCAGAGACACTCGTGATATGTGTATGGGTGTAAATATACGTATTACATACATGCATGCATGCATGCATAGCATGCATGCATACGTACCATACGTACCATACGTACCATACGTACCATACGTACCATACGTACCATACGTACCATACGTACCATACGTACCATACGTACCATACGTACCATACGTACCATACGTACCATACGTACCATACGTACCATACGTACCATACGTACCATACGTACCATACGTACCATACGTACCATACGTACCATACGTACCATACGTACCATACGTACGTACGTACAAACACACAAAGACATATACTTATAAATATGCATACATACTTGTATAATCTTGTATATGATATTATTAAATATATATATATACACATACATGATGCACAAACAAAAGACAATGGACCTGCTGTAGCTGGGATGTGTCAAGCCCTCTACACAGTGGGATGTTGTGTAGCTGGTCACACCCGTAGGCTTTTCCAGTCTTCCCGGCCCCTGGCAGCTTGGATCTCAGACTGTTGCGACTGGGGGCAGCAGAGCCATCGATCTTCCAATCCAAGTCATGGCTCCCTGATACCACGCAATTCAATGAGGATAGTCAGGAATGATGGCTGCTACTACTACTACTACTAATACTCCTACTGCTCCTACTTTCCTACTTTTCCTACTTTTCCTACTTTTCCTACTTTTCCTACTTTTCCTACTACTACTCCTACTACTCCTACTACTACTACTACTACGACTACTACTACTCCTACTCCTACTCCTACTCCTACTCCTACTGCTACTGCTACTGCTACTGCTACTGCTACTGCTACTGCTACTGCTACTGCTACTGCTACTGCTACTGCTACTACTCCTCCTCTTTTCCTACTACTACTACTGCTGCTGCTGCTGCTGCTACTGCTACTGCTACTACTACTACTACTACTACGACTACTACTACGACTACTACTACTACTACGACTACTACTATGACTACTACTACTACTACTACTGTTTTTCCACCAGCTGTGTCTTAGTAATCCAGAAACCCTGTAGCTTTGTGCCGCAAGTGCTGAAAGGGCCAAAGCGAGATTCGCCCATCCGCGGCTGCTCCACGGTAACTTGGCTGCGAATGTATGCTTGCTGGATTTTGATTGCAATGCAAATGAAATTTCCTTTGAACATCTGTGAAAGCACTTCACATTGCAACGCTTTCAAGACCTACAGTACTGTAGTACTGTACTGGTAATTAAGAGCATGGAAGAAGTCTGTCCTCTCATGTTCCAGGCCAGTAGCGTTGCCCATTTTTGCCGCTGCACGGATCCCCAGGATAGCAGTGCGGGCAGCGCTTGAAAGCGTTGAAACCTTCGTTTGCCGTGTGATAAGAATGAACGGTAATTCACACGGTTTTTGCTGGATAATTCACTCACTTCAAACCGATTTCCAAAGCTGATGGTTTTTGCAGTGAGGTGTGCGCGGCCTCTTTGCTCCGAACAAAAGTGCAGCGTCATGGCAAAGGCAAACCACAGACTACCTCAGGCAGGGTGGGTTCAATTGGATGAACATCAATGAAAAAAATTGGACAGGATTTTGATGTTAGACATACATTGGGGCTCACAAACTGCATTGGAATCCCCGACAACACTTGTGAAGTCTCAAAGTATTGGTGTGTCCTAGCAGATACCACCCTTTGCACGAGAACTTGCTACGCGAGGTGTTCGCGTCAGAAAGCCAAAGAACAACGCCCTGAGACCTTCAGCTGCAGCACATCCGCACACCGGTCGCCTCTAGAAAACGCTGGAAGGTACTAGTTGGCTGCGTTTATAAATGGTTATAATACCCCTAAAGACTCCCTAAAGGACAATTTGATACAATTTGGGTCAGAAACTTCTAAGAAATTCATGATAATCCAATATTATCCATTGGAATTGGATGAATTGGGGGGTTCCTATGGTTCCTCTAAGGAAACTGCAGTATTGCCACCTTCGAGGAGTGCAGACTGGGGGTACACTGGCAAAATGAATGGCAATCCACTTTCTTCAAATGTAACAACATATACGCATATAATCACGATTATACATGTATACAGAATCATAACGTATAATGTGTATATAGAATTATACAGACATATTATATAGATGTAGCATGATATATAGATATGCATTGCCACCTGACATTGCATCCTGTGGGAATTCAACTAGCCGAGACTGTCCCCCCCATCCCATCGTATTTAGATCTTTCCGCGCACCTCCAGGAGCTCACCACCAGAGTTCGATACGAGCCTCTGACTTACATGTCACTGGGCATCACTGGACCGCAACGGAGATTTCTCCAGTTTCATGGATTGCATGTGCGCCCACTTATGGCAATTTTCGGGAAGATAACGAGTATCCATGATGATCCATTGGGGCTACCTGTTCATACAAAGCCATGTCGAATAGCATCGAATAGCAATCGATTGTTCCCACTCCCAGGATTGTTTGGCAACAGATTGCAACTAGTCGCCAACAGTCAGTGGGATGCCAGTGAAGAGCCTCCAATTAAAGATACCTGACTGTGATGACTGGCATTTTTCGGGCCACTTGGGCCTCGCTTTGTGGCGCAACACTCGTGTATAACGGAGGTCATCAAATGTCATCAATCAGTCGAATCAGTTGCAATTCACCGCTTTATCAAAAGCTTTTCGGTGCTGCAGTCGCAATTAAGGTACAGACGGCGCTTCGCCCGGCCAAGGCAGGTTGATGCTGATGCAGCTGAGAAGAAAGCTAAGTCGATTCTGCGTGGGAGGATTCTATATGATCTGTATGTATACGTATACGTATATTATATATATACATGTATCATTGCATACTGTACCCCAGATTTTACATGATTTTACATCATATAAATCTTTGGTTTCAGGACCCGTTTTGAGCCAATCTGCATCAGTTCTCTACGTTTTTTGAGTGTTTGGAAGGCACAAGCCTATTCAGATGGCAACCAGAACTGCCAGAGAGTCGGCACCTCTGAATCGAGGTGAGAGTGAACATTATTGAAATAGAAGATACAATTACTGTTATAGGCAGCATTCATCATGTGTTGATATAGTAATCATATGTATATCTAATTTGTATTAATATGTACATATATGTACTGCATGATGTAAAGATAATATACACAAATATATGATTATCTATGATTATCTATGATTGTGGCAGAGACATCTCTCCAGACACAAAGACGTGCTTTCGTGCCTCTTCGATCGGCATCACCGCGATGCGATCCGCACCGCGGAATGCGACATTCGAGGTCTGGACATAAATATCGCTTGGGAGCAAGAGCCCATGCCAGGACAGAAACGGCTATGGCAATGGCGGATGAGTGGATGATTCACAGTACTCGTACCTATTATATAAACATGGTGATTTTCCATAGCTATGTCAACTAGAGGGTATTCGATGATATTCTCAACTCATGTGTCAAGTGTGTGTGTGTGTGTGGACCATCTGAAAAGATGTAAAACTTCTAAATATGCAGGGGGTGGATGCATGGTCTGGCAGTCATCCACCAACGAAGACACTGCCTTTCCATGGTGATATGACGAAGGGACGCCTTTGTCACGTACCTGCTAACTTTCAGAAATGGGAAGAGGCTCAACCCAAGAACCTCCTTGTCGTCTAATTGAAAACTTCAATTTTCTGCACTGTTGTCACAACAGTTGTCGCAATCTGGGATTATTTTTGGTCAATTACGACTGGTTCAGCTGCATTAGAACATTCCTCAGAGCAAGGACGTAGAAAGCATGCCTCGAACTGAACTTCACGATGGATCAACCATTTTCTCCTGTCAGACTTTACTGGATTGTTTGTGCACGTTCGATGCATTCCACATCAGTAATTCAATAAGATATTTCTGAGCAAGTGTGTGTGTGTGTTTGTGTCTGTATGTGTGTATGTGTGTACTTCAGAACTTGAACAAATTTGATAGAAATTAGATTGGTACTGAATGTTACTGGATCATGAAATGAACCAAGGGCAGAAATCTATCCGTTTGCTACACATGGTGTGTCTAGGGTTTGCTTGGCAAAGCTTCGCAACTGACCAGGAAATATCGCATCATTGATTTCGGGCGCACCAAGAGAGACATGCAACCTCCTCAGAAACTCGCACGCTCTTCATGTTCACCTGCAACATGTTTGAGTCGTAAGACTACAAGAAAAGGTATCCAGCTGTGCAGATTGAGAAGGCTTCATGGTCAGCATCCTGATATCCGTGGTCACGACTCTAAGGTTTGGAACAATCCAAACCATCGAATATGACCCATATCGCAATGCTCGTATTTGCCTGGTGAAGTATGAGGCTGGAATGCATTTTGTTTCAGGTTTCAACAAATACAATGAACTGATGACTCTGTAAGCTGATATTTTACACCCCCCCCAATTCACATTTTTCTGGTGGGCGGGCGAAAGGATGATAAATATACAATGATCACGGATCATGACTAAATATGAATTAATGATAGGAAAGGATCTTTATTGATTACAATACATTATAAATATTGATAAATCATGATATAAATCATGAGGGGGGATGTTAATGGAATTTATAAACCATGGAAATTCTCTTTGTCAGTGCAGGACGGTGAGATGCGCTACATCCTCCACGGAGTGGGCTACTTTGTTGGCCAGGAGGCACACTGGCCATGTCACGGGTGTCTAGTGGCCTAGTAAGATTAGTAAGGGGTTAGTATATCCCCAAAAATAGCAGTATTTCAGGTTAGTATATGTTAGTATGTGTTTAATCATATTCTATCCAGATCATTTATCCAGATTCTTTATCCAGATTCTTTATCCAGAATGATGTTTGAGGATGTCTAATGATGTCTAATGTTTGCAATCTGATGAGATGATGTTCTTCAGCCACCTGTTTGATCCTGCCCAGCCTTTTGCTTGTCATGACGTCGTATGGGTATGGCTCAAGACCCTTTGAGATTCGAAAAGCACAAAAAATTGGCGGAGTCATTTCCTTTGTGTGTTTTGGTCTGAGCCAATTTGCGATTCTGATTCATTTCTTTTGGTACAGAACCAATAAGTATCGGGTCTGCTGGACTTCGAACTATCTAGTCTATCATAGTCTTTCTATAATTGTCCTAGATATGTTTATGTCCAACTATTCCCATACTATCCCCATCCCCTAACATCCCTAACTATTCCATTGGTCCATACGGTCCATACATGTCCCTTTGAAGGTGATCTCCTCAGCCGATGCGCCCATCTTTGTGGGCAACGCAGTTCCCTTGGACAAGGTGCCCATTGGAACCATGGCCTGGGACGTCAGCAGGGACGAGGTGTCGAGAAAAATGGGGAATTGATATTGGATAAAGTGGTATTGGGTGATAAAATGGATGATAAGTTGGAGGAGAAGTTCGGAATTGATGGGAATTGATGGGAATTGATGAATTGATGGGAATTGATTGGGATTATTATTATTATTGATCATATTGTTGGATCTAAGATGTTCTTAAAGATTATTTTTTCAACAACGATTGACACAGAATTTGAATCTGACATGATCCAGCAGTACATTGCTCACCTTGCAGCGTATGCTGGCGAAGTTGGCCTAATAGTGTTGGCGAGGTCCACAACATTGAGATGAACCCCACGAACGGAGGCGTTATTGTGCAGACCTTAGGCTGTGGCGCTAGGTGGCGCTGGCATTGGCAATATGTGACACTGTAGAAAGTGAAACCTTCTGAGCCTGAAATAACAGGGGTGTCGCTTTATGGCCTGTGGCATCTCGTGACTTTGCAAAGAAGCTGAATGACCTTTCCTCAATATGGTTCTGCAAGGCTCGTGCAGCAGGTGCCGCCGCCATTGCTTGGAACTCAGATGCCAGATGACAAAGAAACCCGATGTTAGTCGTGGAAATCGGTTTGCATCAGAGATCATCAGAGTTCGGCATGAGTTCAGCCAAGCCGCAACGAAGGAGGAGAGCGGAGCATTCTTGTTGCCAACCACTATCAACCACTGATGCTGTTGAACTGTTGGAACAAGGGAGCTTTCTGGCTGAAGACCAGATCGCGACTACCTTCTCAATTTGTTTGAATGGAGATCAGATCAACATGAATCATGTAGCTTTTCTGATCTTTCTCCAACCATGCAATACGTCATAATACGTCTATACATGTCTATACTATACTTCATTATACTTATATATGAATATATATGATATGCTGATACACGCTGTACTTCTGCAGTCCTACGATCTGACACGGTGACGGCACCAAGGTTCTGTCCCGAGAGGGCAACCTCGTTACTGTGAAGATGCCCAGTAGCGAGGCTGGGAAAGTGGGGAAAGTGGTGGTTTGGTGGACACGGACATTCCATGGCCAGTTTTTGCACAGGTGCGTTTGATTCCTGAAGATTGCTGGTGCACTATCGGGAAGGCTCGGTGGGCATTGATAATATTGATAGCTTGATACTGTCCTTGTTTTTTTCGAGAAGTATTTGATTACTCATGATTACTCTTGATTTAGGATGATTTACCATTGATTTACCTGGAAGTTACTGCAGTATGATCTGGGTGCGTGAGCAGTGCTGTAAATTGTTGTTGTTTGCGCTGGTGTCTTCGTGCTACCGATCGATCATTCCAGCTATTCTATTCATATGTTTGCAATATCAAGGAAACCTGCCTGAAATTGGGACTTGGAACTCATCATTCGATCCATACATTCCATAGAAATTTGTCAGTGTGTGTGTGTGTGTGCCAGAAACGGTTGATCCATGGTACTGCATTCAGAATATCTGCACTATAATGCAATATACAATATCATAATTATATCATATATATATAATATATACATAACACACACATATATATATATTTATACACCCATCTTACATACTTAGTTGCGGGTCATGGGGGGCGCTGACCATATGTAGAATGATGTAGATCACATTATACAGTTTATAGATATTTACTGTATAGCCTCTTGGCTACTGAAGCACAGGTGGGCCGTCCCGAAGCGCAACTCATCAAGCTCGGAAAGGCCCGCCTGGAAAGCTGGGGCAGTGGGTGCTACGATATTCCACACGGTATTATATATATATAATATAGAAGTATGAATATATAAAAATTCATAATTGATGATCATGGTGATAATAATGATGAATGCTAATTATATATACTACTAATTGTACTATATAATCATAAATCTGTGTGTATGTATATAACATATGTAATCAATATACAGATGCGCCATATGTATATATGAGTACAATCATGAATATGTACATTTGAGATACGAGGAAAGGGGTAGATATGATGACCTCGCAACTACACCGGTCACCGGTTGACAAATGTACGTAGAAGCATAAGGAAACAAGGGTGTGGTATGATGGGAATAGATAAACAGCTGAGTCTGAATGGTTGGATTATGGGACTGGATTATGGCAATTTTTTACCCACTGCCATAAGATGGGGCACTTTTCCAATGCCACTGGTCCCTTTGCACCGCACTGTACAATCGGAGAAGCTTCGGTTCCCCGGTTTCCAGATGTGGGGTGAGTTGGACAACTGATTCCTGTGTGTTTCCCTTTGGCTATCCATGGCTATCCAATCTTCGTCCATGATCCACACTGGAATCCACACCACGGCTGCCAAGGCCGGAAAGTCGCGACATTTGGGCTTCACTCCACACGTGCGAGGAAGCGCCAAGAACGCCTGTGACCACGCTCATGGTGGAGGAGAGGGCAGGTGCAACGGGGCAGATCCATTGAAACTACAAGGGCATGGCATGGCATGGCACTGACGGCGACTGAATGTTCGTTTCACCAAAGTGACCAGGTCTCCCATTGGTCACAAGCATCCGAAGACCAAGTTTGGCAAGTACTGACCTCAGGTAGTGACCGAAAAGGCTACAATGTGTTTTCTGTTCTGTTTGAAGGTGCTTATCCACTGAGTGTGTACTGCAGAAGTATGGAAAGGCGAAGATTGCAAAACGATTGGCCCAAGTTACCATCCGCGTTTCAGCATGGGTTTCGATGTGCCTTGTATCAAGTTTATTTGTGTCAAGAAATCAGCAATGAGGTGTGCTGTTGGCATGCGTACTCGACGATCTACACGCTCTGACAGGTCGCTGAATTGATTTGTGTTTGCTGGTATGGATAGGTGTACTCGTACTCATGTACAGCTTGCCATCGAGACGTGCAGATTCCGGGTTGGCTCGGGGTTTGAATAATAGACATTTTCATGCGTCACCAACCTGGTTATAATGTACAGGAAACCTGGATATCTGGAATTTGATTGTATGATGTTATGATATGTTGTGAGTATATAAAAGCACTTAACAGCCAATGTTTCCCAAGATGTTTCCCCAAATTCACCCAGCGGACCGTATTTTGTAACATTGCCAGGTTGATCCTCATCAGGCGCAAGAAGAAGAGCGGCCGCTGATGGACGAAACGCAGCCAGAAAAGGCGGAAACGCAGCCCGTGGCCCCTCGATGGCCTCCCCAGAAATTGCTCACTGCGCGAGCTTTTGGCAATGGTGTAGGCTTGGAGCAGCAATCCATCTTGTGTGCATTTTGCTGCAGTAAATGTACTGCTCAAACATGAAACTCAATGGAATCTTTAAGGTTTTCATGGATCAACCACTGGGTTCATTCCAAACAGAAAGTGAGTGTTTGTGCTGATGGAAAAATCTGGCGGCGGAGTAAGAACAAATGGCTGTGTACGACAAAACCTAAGATAACTAAGGACATCCGGCCATCCATTTGACCATTTTGACCCCATTAGCCATCACTAACCATCATTAATTATGAACTATCATTAACCATCAACCAGGTCCAACCTGATCCAATCCACAAACCAAAAAAAAGGGTGCTGGCCATAGCAGCCATAGCAGCCCTTGGCCCACCATGCTGGGCTTGGAGCCCAGGTCCAGTATGGAAAGCTCGCATGGAAATCTCTATGGAAATCTCAGAACCAAAGATCCTGTAGGAATGAGATAGCAGAGTCTTTGTGATATCTCTATAATATATATATATAAATAAATATATAAATATATAAATATAATATATATATATATATGTATATACTTCATATTCTGATGTGTTAGTGATATCTAGTGATACTGAACCAACATTGACAGTTGGTCCAGCATCAGGCCAGCTCAGTGTTGCCCTGAGGAGTTTTGGGTTCCTTCGGCATGGGCTTTATGTCCAAGGCGCAACTTCCGTGGCTGAGATGGCTGTGGGATGCCATGGGAAGATGGCAGCTGGGCCATGATTTGATCTTGCTGATCCTTCTTGCACAGCTGCAGGATTTTCAGTGACAAAAGTATTTGAATGACACAGTGACTGAATAGAGTCAACAATCGTCTAATCTAATCTTGGTGTGGAGAACAATCCCACCCAAACTGACAAGAACTCTCAAATCTTCCAGGAAAGGGATACTGTACATTCGAAGCAATGTCAACATTTTGGAATATTTTGAGTACTTACTCCAAGAAAGTGGAAATGCGAAGTCACTGGCTTGGAGTCCCAAACTGTGAGATATCGATATAGCCATCAAATCCCACCAATATGTAGTGCACTGCTGCATTTGCAAAGGCCTAACTTGAGCATCAATTGCTGGTACAGGTAGAAAGACAATGAAAAATGCAAGACCCATCAAGTTTTATGCAAGTCTAAAGAGTCTAATTTTGATCCAAAGCTGGCTGTGGATAGCCATGCCACCCTGGCAGCGGGTCTTTGCATCAGCGCGTGCTGCTGCGCGCTCGCACCTTGGGCTGCCCCTTTAAGCCTGGTCTATGGTTTTTGCGGTGGTGATGCCTGTGGTTCTCAACTTCATCTTCCATCATCTTCATAGGTAATCCCAAGATTTTGTCCAAGTATTCATAAAGTATTCCCAAATGTGGGGAAAGATTCGTCATAATTTGCGGTGTCGGTGTCTCACAGGATCCACCTCTCAAGGCATGGCTGGCTGGCGCTTGGCCTTTCCTCCGGGTCTGTGGCTTTTTGCGAGGCCGGCATGGTCCAGGTTCGACCGCGCTTCCAGCGTGAAACTTCCATGGGAATTCCATCAGTGATCGGGTCTGACCGGGACAGGCGGAGCGCTTGAAGAGCTGGGAAGAGCGATGGGCGGTGAATAAGAACCTTGGCTGAGTTTAGAATGAGAATGTCAACATTCTGAAATTTCCATGTCCTCCAACGTTCTGAAATGTCTTTGTCCTGCCAAACCATGAATGCTCTCTCAAAACGTGGGATTGTTGCTGATAGGCGTCAAAATCAGAAGGTTTAAACGAATGGCAAAATAATCAAGTGGCTTCGTTGTTGGTTTGCCTGGTGGGATCTTTTCTGCAATTTTAGATAGCTGAAGGATCAATTGGCACTTGGAAAATGCAACTTGACCGCGTGTGAGATTATCTGTGAATCGATCCGAGCAAATCCTCTGTGTCACAAGCACGAAACGCTTTGCACCACGAGAACAGCTTCTCTTTCCCTTTTTTGTGACATGAATAGTGATAGTGTGAATATGTGTGAATTGCTTCATGTTGATTCATTTGGCACCTATTTGGCACCTTTTTGGTCTGAGGTCAATCCACATCTGAAGAATCACTTGGCGCAACTCGTAGACCCAAAGGCATCTGTGGCTGGAGGCATGGGCCCTCGAGTGTTGGTACCTCTCTGCGGGAAGACTGTGGAATCTTGGCTTCCGCAGCTACAAATTGTGGAGCAGGACAGAAAGGAATGTATGAACATGTATGAACTAATTCTTTAAATTTCTTTAATCTCAATTAAGTCTGACTGTAAGAGCAGCATTGCAATGATGTGTCAGCACTAGCTGCCAAGAGTTTGCTGTGAAACTGTAAAGGTACGTATATAATCGTAATTAATCGTATATATACTGGCAGTTTGATGATTTGGTAGTGCATCTATTGCCTAGATGCCCTTAATTGTCCTTATTTTCACACTGTTTCATAGTGCAAGAGCACAGCTTCGCAACATCTTGCAATGCCATATGTCCAATGTGCACAGAATCTGGACACTCTTCCTCGTGCAGCACTGACAGCATCGCATCCAAGGACATGGTCTTTCTGTCACGCCAAGGATATCGCGTTGTGGGCGTGGAAGGCGTACGGAAAGCCGTGGAAGAGTTTGCCGAGGCATCAGCGCCTGGGAAGTCTCCAAGCAAATCGAGTCGAACCAGCTTCAAAAACGCGATAGAATTGAATCATATCGAATCGTATTGAATCGTATTGAATGATAATTCTTGAATCATATTGAGTCATAGTGAGTCCTATTGAGTCATATTAAATCGATGTAGACCCTGTTTTTGAATACTGTACATAATGACATACATGTACATACTGTACATGTAATAAGCCTTGGCAACTTTCTGAAAGTTGTTCAGTTCCCGAGACTGTTTGCGGCGTGCTGCTTGTGACACGAAGTCACCCGCTCTGCAGGAGTTTGGGCTCCGGGTTCCAACTGCCAAAGGTCAGATCCTAAAAGCGACTCAAGCATGAACTGTGGCAAGATGGCTAGCAGCGGCTAGCAGCGGCTAGCACCTCCTCAATGTCACTTTGTCGCTTGTGCTTCAACCTTTATCCAGGGTTGAAAGATGTTGATATTTAAGGGCTGCCGCCCCTGCCGCCGACCCCGGAAGAAGCGGCAAGGAAGCAAAGCTGGCAGCTCGACCTTTTTGCTATGTACATCGTTGTGAAATATATTTGATAGGTTTGAATTTTCATGTGTAAATGGGTTTTTCATTTGAGTGCATGTTAATACTCTGATCTTATGGTTTTATGGGTTCATGGATCTAAGTAACTGTATAATAGTTATATATATATATACACAATATTTTTGGCCCTATTATTATACAGCTAATGTTGCGCCGCACAGGTGCATGGTTGCGCCGCACAGGTGCATGATATTTTATCGAAGTATACGAGGGCGTTGTTTTTTTTGATCCCCCACCTTGTTTGTTTGACCTCCCCCGTGTTTTTTTGACCCCTCATGAACGAAATCCGAAATGAAACTCTAAAGAAACTCTCAAGAAACCCACATGAATGTTTGAAAACCTTGACAAGATTTTCTGATAAGAAATTCACATAACACTCGAAATTAAACGCGAAAGGAAATCGGAAAGAATCCCTAAATGAAACTCTACATGAAACCCGACAGAAACGCAAAAGAAACTCGAAATAAAACCCTAATGAAAGTTTAAACACCGTAGGTGAAACCGAAAGAAACCCGAATGAATTGCTGCCAGAAACCCCTACATGAAACACAAAATGAACCCTAAAGAAATCATAAATTGACCTAAAGAAACCATAAATGAAAGCCTGCAATTCAATGCAATTTGCAGTGCAATGCAATGCAAGGTAATGAAGCGGCGGCGCGAGCTGCAACGACGTGGCAGCACAACTCCTGCTGTACGGCAAATGAAACTACACGCAATCCATTCGAAGCCCATGATCCGAAGGCGATCCGACGAGGGTTGAAAGCATTAGAGCGCAAATGTAACAATACAAACCCAAAGACGGTCCACAACTCTCTGCCAGGCGTGTGTGAAATCGAAGCACGGGCAACAACACAGAAAGTCGACCAATTTCTGCATGATCTAAGTCAGACAAAGCAGTGCAACCCAGAGCAGCTATGCTTCATTGAAACCGTTTGCGCGCGGATCAAGCACGAAGCAGCCACGGGGCAAGATCGCGGCGGCGCAGCCGAAACTAACACGGAGGCTCTTCGCTGGGCATTGCACGGCGGGCCAGGCACAGGCAAATCGTATGTGCTGAACATCTTGCGCCGTGACTTGTTCGAAAAATGTCTTGGCTGGACTCCAGGCAAAGAATTTCAAGTTGTTGCGTTCCAAGCTGTCAATGCTGAACCCTTGGATGGTGAGACGATCCACAAAGCTCTCGGGCTGTCGTGGCACGGCAACGATCACAACGTTGCTGGCCAACGGATTCTCGACCTGGCGCGGCAAGCCGTGCAGTGGCGCTGGCTTCTTCTCGACGAAATCAGCATGGTGAGTGCTGAGATGTTAGCGCGTCTCGAAGCTCGCTATCGGCAACTTGTTTTAGATCTATCTGCCACAAAATATGGCAAACATACCCCTAACTGCATGGCGCCCTTCGGTGGCCTCAATGTAATTCTCTCGGGCGACCTGTGGCAGCTACCTCCACCACGTGGAACGTTTCTCGGTCAAATTCCCTGGCACCTTGTGACAGGCGTCCCATCTAAGAAGTTGCCACTAAGCTTGCAAGGCCAGCAGATCGTATGGGCCTCCAGCCGACAAGGTGGCCTACACGGCGTTTCAGAACTGATACGGTGCGAACGAACGCAAGATGTCTGGTTACAGGAGCTGCAAGCCGAACTTCGCGTCGGACGCTTATCCGAAGACAACCATGCATTCTTACATGGCCGACCCACAAAAGTTCCGGGAAGCTGGTGCGCAAAAACGCAGCAGCCTACCTGCGGAGAAAATACATGCTATCGCTTGTACAAGATTGTACAAGCACGGTTCCACAGCGACGACGATTCTTAAGTACGAATGTCGAATCTGTCGCGCTGAACGGGAGACCAAGCGTTTAGTTGCAGTGGATCCAGACGATCCTCGGTTTGCGGAGGGTTTTAGCTTGGCCCGAGGGAATTTTCCATACAAACGGGGTGAAGTGCCACGTAAATAAATTGCGCGCGGAACAATGGGCGCGACAGCGCGGGCAGGTCATTTACTATGCAGTGGCTACGGACAAAGTTTCATCGCGCGCTTTGCACGAGAAGCCCGACATCGCCCAAGACAAGCTCACATGGCTGCAACGCAGCGATGCTGATTGCGGGAATCGGTACGGCGTCCTTCCGCTGTGCATTGATATGCCTGTACAAGCGCGGGAACACCTCCACCGGAAGGATTTCAAGATTTTGAAAGGGTGTCATGGAACCATTTGCGGGTGGTCAAGCATTGAAACAGAAACACTATCGGCAGATGGAGCAGTAATTTGGAACAAACTTCCCGAGTATATCTTTGTGCGTTTTGAAACACGCACACGGTGGACAATTCCAGGCATCGATCAAGAGAACGTCTTCCCGGTCAGCGTGCAAAGTGGAATGTGGTTTTTGGACGCGGGCCGCGCCAACCCACAATTGAAAGTGACGCGTTACCAATTTCCCATTGCGCCCGACTTCGCCGACACGTTCTACGGCGCGCAAGGAAGCACCATAGAGCCGGGCGTGATCGTCGACATGATCGGTGCGGACCCAATAGCGGCGTACATTGGGATGACACGCTGCCGCACACGGCAGAAGATCTTGATCTACCGTCCGTTCCCACTAGCGCCTTTTCAAGAAGGCCTGCCGCTCGGAAGGCAACTTTTGCTTGACGTGTGGAAGCAGGAGCCGGTGGACTGGGACGCGTTGCGCAAGAAGTACTTGGATGAAAGGCCGTGCCACGAGTGTGGGGAAATGAAACGCAAAGACGCATTCACCAAAGCGCAGTGGAAACAAGAGACCTATCGAGTCTGCAAAGAATGCACTGCGCAGAAGCGCGAGGCAGGAACACCAATAGATGCACACAGTGCGGCCTGTGGCACGCTGCAACACACTTTGCGTCAAAGCACCAAAACCCGCGATGGAGCATGTATCGCGTTTGTCTGTCGTGTGATGCAAAAAAGCAATGTTTCTTATGCCAGACAAAGCAGACAAAGGAATACTTCAGCCATGTGGCTTGGCAAACGAGGGATCCCAAACGTCGATTGTGTTTGCAATGCCAGACCAAGACCCGCGGCTCTTGGAAATGCGCGGTCTGCCACCAGCGGCGGTCGCGGCACCAATTTTCCAACTTTATTTCCAGGCGGCCCTCTGGTGAGAATGGAACGCAGACATGCGACACATGCCACGCTGCAAAGGTGCAGCAGGCAGTCCGCAAGCGCGCTGCTGCTTCCAGTACAACCCGCCTAGAGCCTCTCCGGAAAAGACTTCGCCACAGGCAAATTATCCAGGAGACATGGGAAGCAATCGCCGAAAACAAGAAGGCACGCACATCTGATCATTCTACGTATCCTTTGGAAATGCGCGCTGCTGACATGGCGTCGGCTGTCCTCTCGCAGACAAGCAGTAGGAAAAAACAACCACCCCGTTAGCACCTGCAATAACCCAGGCGGAGTACGTATATGCCTGTCCTTTCTGCAAAGGTATTGTAACATCGCCACTTGCTACCGGACACATTAACCATCGTCGCATCTGTGGGAAGCAGTTCCGGGTTGAAAATGGTTTCGTTCGGCCCACACTGCACTATGTGCACACTTGCCCGACCTGTGGATCTGGCATCCGCAGCACAAAAAAATCAGGACGAATCCGCAGCAAGCACAAGCAAGCGAACGGTCGTATGTGCCCTCGAACAGAATGGCAACTGAGTTAACAGTTAATAACCCTTTTGTCGCAACTTTTGCACACCCCAAGATTTTTATACTAACGAACGCAATGAGCAAAAAAAATGCCAAACAATAAAATTGTCGCCACTGTTTCCTCCTCCTGCTGCTGCTCCTGCTCCTGCTGCTCCTTTTGTTCAAACGGCAGCTCCCAGATGGGAAAACACCATGGCAGTGAAGGACAGAAAGGCATCAAAATTGCGCGCAAAAAGTGCCTAATGTAACTTCTGAAACCCATAGAAAACGATGATTTTAGCTACCTTTTCCTCCTGCTGCTGCTGCTCCTGCTCCTGCTGCTCCTTCTGTTCAAATGGTAGCTCTCGGATGGGAAAGCACCATGGCAGCGACGGACGGAAAGGCATCAAAATTGCGCCCAAAAAGTGCCTAATGTAACTTCTGCAACCTAAGAAAAGGATGATTTTGGCTACTTTTTCCTCCGCGCTATTGTTGCGTCTGGAAAACACCATGGCAGCGAGGGACGGAAAGGCATCAAAATTGCGCGCAAAAAGTATAATGTAACTTCTGAAACGCATCGAAAAGGATGATTTGAGCCACTTTTTCCTCCTTCTGCTACTGCTGCTCCTGCTCCTGCTGCTCCTTCTGTTCAAATGGCAGCGTCCGGATGGGAAAACACCATGGCAGCGAAGGACGGAAAGGCAGCAAAATTGCGCGCAAAAAGTGCCTAATGTAACTTCTGAAACCCATAGACAACGATGATTTTTATCCTACGCGCGATTGCTGCTGCTGGGAAAACATCATGGCAGCGAGGGACGGAAAGGCAGCAAAATTGCGCCCAAAAAGTGCTTAATGTAATTTCTGAAACCTATAGAAAAGGATGATTTTCGCTACTTTGTCCTCCGCGCTATTGCTGCTGCTGCAAAACACCATGGCAGTGAAGAACGGAAAGGTATCAAACTTGCGCCCGAAGGATGATTTTAGCAACTTTTCCCTCCTGCTGCTGCTGCTGCTCCTGCTCCTGCTGCTCCTTCTGTTCAAATAGCAGCTCCCGGATACTTTTTCCTCCTGCTCCTGCTGCTGCTAGGAAAACACCATGGCAGCGAAGGA